CGTGGAACAACCGGACAAGCAATGCTGCGGTTAGAAGCAGAGTTTTAGGGAACTGTGATCGCCCACTTAACCAAACACTCGAACTCCATAGATTACGTTAGCTAATGCATGTAATTCAATAGGCTTTTTAGACTTGCGATGTTTGCCGAGGCCGAGCATGGGTTACAAAAGTCAGGAGTGGTAATACAAAACCTGGCACGATGGTGTGAAAACCACAACCGGGATACACGGTCATCATCATACAGCGAAATACAGTGAAGCGACCTTCATTGATCGCTGCCAAGCTCACAATGTACACAAAGAAAATGATAAAACACAAGATGAAGAGGGATTGGGCCTAATTGGAGGGAGGCAAAGAAAGTAAACCTCTATGGTCAACAGACAGAGTACACAATCTAAGTGTGCACACATACCTTTCCAAGCATTCTGACCTGATAAGAAATGACAAGAATGCCGCTGCTGTCGGTTAGTTGCCATATCTTTCAGTGTCTCCAACCAATCATTTGCAGAGTCTTTTGGACCCCAAACTGGAAGATGGGAGATACATATTCTAAGTAATCACTCTGTGCGTTTCTTCATACCACGTTCCCACCTCGCCTGTTAACCTACACGTGGTTTCTTCCAACATGGAGCCACAAATGCGAACAAAGCGCAGTGCGGTAGACGATGGTTGAGCATGCGCAATACGTGTCCTAACCAGCGAAGCCTGCTCATCTGAATTCGATGGGAGAACGAATTCTCCACCGAATCATTACCAAATAAGTGACGCCTTACCTTAGAGTTGCTTACACACTCGCTCCGTCCAACACGCGCTAAACTACGTAAACATCAGCAGTCCAAGACTTCTAGACCTCGAATATCTTCCACATGCAGGACTGACCGCACACTGCCGCAGTATACACGAACTTTCAGTTACAACGAAACATCACGTTTGCATCAAAGGTGTTTCAGTCCTGTGTAAGCTGCTCGAGCCGATCGACAATGATTTGTTTGGATTGAGACAACAAAAAACAGGTTATTTTATTAACTATGCTACTGTCATTTGTCAAGCAGCTATCCAATTAGGTGAAGCATACCACTTCAGCTAATTATTGACCATCAAGTATCAGCGCAGGGGTAGAGGACACCCAACCTTGTAGCATCACTTTGCACTTTGAAGGTGCAAAGCGCATGCCGAACGGAGCAACGGTACCGGCTAGACAGTCCAATGCGCTTTGTGCATTCTCCATAGATTGAAATAGGCAAACGATGCCGTCAGTGTCCTCCAAATGACAGTTTTTTCCAGCTGTCCATCCAATACCTACATTTTAGAGACAAACAGAGCATTCTCCAGTATTGCGTCTACTACGAAATAGGGCACCCTCGACGAACGCCGCCCTTGGTTTCGAACGATTTACTTAAACCAACGTAGAACCTTACGGTACCAGACGTACGTAGGTATAGCGACCGCAATAGGTTTATATACTTCCGCGGAGGAGCGACACAATAAGAGCTTCAAGGTCAACTGAATCGTAGGCTGCTTTTCGGTCGAAGAACTGCAATTGTTAGCCGACGATGTGTGTGGCGCAATTTGAAGACTTGACACAGTGAAGATTTGTTCGATGCAACCGCTACCTGGTCCGAATCCTGATTGCTGTTCTCGGATATTGTTCTCCCTTAAGAGTGCCAGGCGATAGAATATCACAGAATCAACACTTTTGTGACCATCGCAAATAAACTAATCCCGCGATGGTTTGCGCAGTCGTTAGTTGATCCCTTCTTGAAGACCGGGACGATCAACGATTTACCCCAGGATATGCGGTCATACAGATCGCGTTAGCTATGGGGACTTAAGGATCAGTGTAATCAATGGTTAGAAATGCCTAATGATATGAGTGTCGTACACAGTGTCGCGTGTTAATCTACTCACTTTGTTTGCAACCCGTCTCCATAATTTCTTATCTTCGTACTGATACTTTCTAGCATTCTAACACTCCGTTTACTTTTTCGTTCCATCGGGTAATAAAAAATAGCAGCCAGAACCGGGGCACAAAAGTGCATGGTTAATGGTTGTATTAACTACAACAGACTGATCCTGTCATTCCACCCGTACGAAGCTCTGATTACCGATGAGCATGATTTTAGGTCAAGACCGTCGATTAACTCGTACCATTGTTTCACTGGGAGGTGCTTTTGTTGGTTGGCCTTTTGACATGGCCGTTGATCAGGGCAACCATGACTCACTGAAGTTCAGCTTTAAACTCAAGATGCAAAGAAACAGGGCGTTGGGTTGCAAACATACCAGTCACATAATTGTGCAGAAGGCTGTCAGTCACACGGCTTTTTCGACGAACCGCGTTCCTCGGGAGAACATTTTTAACATTCAACGGGAATAATTTGATAACTGAATGCACAAGGACACATGAATAGCGGGGTTTCATACAGCTCAGTGTCGCTGTCACTGGTGGTCACTGGTCCGTAGGATTCACAGCTTGAACAACAACACTATCAACAACAGCAACAAGTTCCATAAGTCAAACAGCGGACCTTGCTGGTCATATGATTCAGTCCTTTCAGTATTTTAGCGGGAAAACGGCATGCAGTAGAACGAAGATATTTCTTACTTTATGGTGAAGATTAATGACGACAAAATAACAATGATTTGAATGTGGTGTGAAGGGTGAACAAGAACCGCTGAATGATGAGAAACGGGTTGAAACAATAACCGATACGTGAAACATGATACACCAACATAGGAAGTAGTGAGACTGCTCCCCAATAAAGAGAAAAACAGCTGGGTGAGAGCTACAATCACGGGCTTATCACCGTCTAAAGACAACGAAGAAAAAGCTGCCGTAAAAAGCACACTAGAAATGAATTGTGCTTACCTGTGTTTCTTTATCTGCTGAAAGTCGATCTGCGTGACATTTCGTGACCTGGTCCTGAGAGTCCTTCAGTTCACTCGAAACCCGATCCAATCCCGCGGTAAGCTGGATGATTCGGTTCCGAGCGCTGATCAATTCCAGGGATTCTGTCTGTATAAAGGTATTCACGAGAGCGCGAAGAGAAATGAGCGGTCTAATGAAATTACTTGAGCGCATTTTGGGCGAAGACGATTAATGGAAAGAAAACGAAGCATTGTATTATGGAAACAGATAAACACCTGCAAAGAATTATGCGAAAATCAGAAATAAATTGGGATACTTTCAAACCCAATAAGCATTTACTGCTGGAATCACCATTGGTTATGCGTGCGACAATGGGGACTCAACTTAATGCTTGCGCTGAGTCTGATCATACAGTAGAATTTAAGCTGTTAACGCATTGAATCGTTGGTCGCCAGCCAAGTAACAGCCTCCACTGGTCCAGCTATTTGTGCCCATTACGATAAAAATCTCAGGCGTGAGAGCAGTATAACGCGGCAGAGGAGATTAACAATCCGATGAAATGCGACGTGCAATGCATTCAGTAGCAAATTTTGCTTGTGAACCAATAGCCCGAAGTCCGTTCAACACACTGCGAGTCTCAGGAATCTTAATGAAAAAACCTAAATACCCGAATCTCCCAGGCTCAACATAAGAACAGGTGGGTTCAGTCAAGCCAAAGTGGGAAAAGAGTTAAGCATGATCATAGAATCTCACGGGCAACAACTGCTACTGAAATGGAAGCAGCCGCATTATCGGGGACAAGTCAAAGAATGGTTCAAGTGATACCGAAGGTCGTTTGATGCCGATCGGCAAATTCATCCCCGATGAAAGTTTTCATCGTATCAACATTAAGAAACAATGACTTGATCGATAGACAGACTATTTTAGGGAATGATTCATCTGCCTTGGTAATAAAAAGGTTATTATGGTGGTTTTAGCAGTAGTTTCGGGGGCAGCGTCAGACGAATCCTAACAGAAGTGGAAGTATGTTGCTGTAGAGAGAAAAGGTACCCGAACTTGACGGGCTTTTCTCCATTATTTTTGAGACAGTAAGGGGGGTTCTCTGGAGAACTTTATTGCTGAGTTACTACTTTGGATTTTGTTAGAGAAGTTAGTCCCATCAAAGCAAAGACTGAAGGAAGTTTGATTTCGATCACTAACGAAGTGTGATCTTTAATATTCCATCGCTGAGACCCTCAAAAGGGCAAAGAATCAGTGAACACAGCAACTGTGGTAATGTTTCTTGACATAAAAAACTTCGTTGACCGTTACCTTCTCCGTAAAAGAACGTCCCACAAGTATATGAAAACAATGAGGTTACCGTATAAACACTTCTGATCGAGCAAGTCTATGGTAAGCTAAACAAAGTGCTAGAATCTAAAAAGGATAATTGTAAAGAGCAAACTATTTGGACATTCCCGTTCAAGTTCGTTGAGGATGATAATGACACTGATATCACCAGCGAACAGCAAAATACAGTGAAGCGAACTTCACTGATCGCTGCTAAACTCGTGTTGCAAACCAACTTAGGGGTAGTATGTAAGATGGACAGAGATTGGAATTACTTTGCGAGAAGGGGAAGAAGGTGAACCCCTATGGTAAACACAGAGTACACAAATGAAACATGAATACTTGCAGTTTAGAGCTTGATAAGGAATGAAAAAATGAACGCCACGGCTTTCTGTTCGCTGCCATGTCATTCGATATCACCAACGAACTCGTTGCAGTTTTTCGAACCCCAAGCTGGAAGGTGAGAGACACCCACCATACCTAATGCTTCAGTACATACACAAAAAAGCGCACCCTTTAACTAGCTGCGCTACAACCCCGTGTTATCACATCTCATCGAAATTGAAGGATTTCTGTCATTAGTATGGTCTTTGGTCGTCAATATACTAGATCGGAATTACTTCTACTTAACCCCCCCCTGCGGATTTATATCACGATTTGATTCAATCACACATAACTCTTTCGGATTTCGGAATTCACACAAAAAGCACAATCGGGCCGGTTGGAAAGTTGCTCTTAAGTGTACCACTTCGTCAAAAATGTCCGTCCCATCACTACTGAGTACGAACATACGTTTTATGTTCGCGAAAATCTCGGATTTATCACGTGTTCTCCGTTCCCGGATTCACGTTCATACTTGTCTGATTTGCACACAAGAATCCTGGCAGAACCCGAATGTTGCTGACGCGTTGGTGTCCATCGACGGATTTAACCTGCAAGGGCAGGACAGAGAATCATGTGGCAAGAAAACCGACGGTGGTGTGGCTACGTACCTCAATACTTCGTGGTGTGACAAGTCAGATGCTGTTTACTCATACTCAAGTAACGGTATTGATTGTTTATCTCTTCAACGTTACCCTAAATTCTCCCGACATAGAAGTACCTTCATAACGAACCTACATATTGCTCCGTTTTGTACGCAAAATACCATCTCGTCATTCTTCGACTCGTTTTTACCTTTTCTCGTACCAATGCTAGAGGACAACCTGCATACTATTGTAGGTGATTTTAAACATGCATCAACCCGGCCTCTCACTGCTTATGATCTAACCGATTTATGCGTTTAACCGAACACAGGTAACTCTGTTCTAGTCAGAATTATAACAAATCACCCCGAATTCTTCTCTTTCCATCTGCGTGCACCGTATCAAACAGTGATCATTGTCCGCTCCTTCTTAGACCTAAGGTATATTCCGGTTCTGCCTTCCACGCGTTTAGGAAAAGTAACCAAATCAAAATCCGTCTTCGGAACACATCAGGTGAATGTATTCTTCTCCTTCAAAGAGCCCTATCCCATGCAGTTTCCTGGCTTTCCTTTGAGCCTTCATTGAACAACAATGTTATTCTTTTTATTGATATAATCAATTCCATCTTTGACAATTGTTGCCCGTTGGAAACCCTATTTCTCTCCGATGGTCGTATTGCATCTCTGAAACTCAAAACATTGAGGAGACACAAGGAACATTTCTACAAATCCCAGAATTTATCAATGGT